GCTGCTCTGGCGGCCCTGGGCAGCTGACCCAGGGGACTGCCCTAGCAGCTGCCAATGCAGCTGGCCCCTGGGTTCCCCCATCCCAGCAGCAGTTGGAACAGCTGTGGGCCCCCCGGGGCTCCCCCATCCTAGAAGTGACACCCCCTCCACCCCCCCGGGGCTGGCTTGCTCACCCCCTGGCAGCGCCTCCCATCCCTGCAGTGCGCACCACTCCCACCCCCACTCCCCAAGATTCAATCATGAGTAAAAGTTGTGGACCGGTCATGAGGCTGATTTTTTGCCCATGACCTGTCCATGACTTTTATTAAAAATACTCATGATCTGAATCGTAGCCTTAGTCGTGCGTTATTGAGGTTGGAGTCGCTACTGGTAAATTCACTGCTTTTATATGCTTTCTTATTGGAGTAGTCAAAATAACACTGGTAGTGGCTTAGTTTCCAAAGGATGCAGTAGTCACCATTAGGAAATTAATGTAGTTATAACTGTTGAGTGATTGTCTTAATTATCATAGTTGTTACAGGGGAAATAACCATTTTCTCTTGGTGCAGACTTATTTCTGCCTTCTTCCTCCCACCCCGCCCTATCACCATATGCTTTTGCTCTCTTGTTTATATTGGTGCTTGCCTTCGTCTTGGTCTTGTCCCACCTCTCATCTGTTATATTCCTGCTTCCAGAAGTGGCACTGTTACAGAGGTTGGAAAGTTTTAGGAAGAAGTAGGGTGGGGAGGTTGCATACAGGTGTGTTCTGTGCCACCTGAAACAGCAGATAAAGAACAGGAGTTGATACTTCTCTCTGCAGTCTAGCCCTGTAGGATCTGGCCAATAGCAGGAAGAAGTGGTGGGGGGAGGGATAGCTCAGTGGTTTGAGCATTGGCCTGCTAAACCCAGGGTTGTGAGTTCCCTCCTTGAGGGGGCCACTTAGGGATCTGGGGCAAAAATCAGTACTTGGTCCTGCTAGTGAAGGCAGGGGGCTGGACTTGATGACCTTTCAAGGTCCCTTCCAGTTCTAGGAGATAGGATATCTCCATTAATAAATTAAAAAACCAAAAAATGGAATTTGCAGTGAGGGAAGCTCAGAGGGGATTACAGCCTGGAGGAGGATGCTAGATTCATTTTCCTCTATTTACATATACTGTATATTGAATCAAGATGTGTATTTTTTTGTGTGTTTTTTTTGGTGTGCGTGTGGGGGAGGGGAATTACTCCTCAACCTTCAGTAATTGTGTTCATCTGCACCTCTCTGAGCAGGAGCCAGCAGCTGGTAATTGGAGGCTTTCCTTAGCAGAGGAAAAGCAACAGATGGAAAGTTCCAGTGGTAACAAGCAGGAGGGAAAGCCTTGTAGGCCACTCTAATGCTTCTTGCTGACTGAGCTTACCCAGTGCGGAGGAGGGGGATGGGAGAAGTTGGCATAGAACTGAAGGAAGCAACTGCTGACTATCTTTACAGGGCTTACATGCCACAGCTTTTATTTCTGCCCCGTTTTAATGAACAGCTTTGATTGACCCTTGGAGGGACTAGAGTTGGAAAACTTCAGTCTGAAAACGTTAAAGGTTGAGGAAGGATTTCTGGAATAGAAGTGCTCAGGAAATCTCAATTACAGGTATTGCGCGATAGATATATAGGTGTGTGTGTGTGTATAGAGAGAGAGCGAGCACGCAACCTATAATTGAATGTTTTCTGGCTGTTTGTAATCTGTACACACAGGTATGACTCATGAACATTTTCTATTACTGTAGTATTCTAATTTTAAACATGGTAAATGTTGCTAAGTGTGCTATTCTAATACTTTAAAATACATTTATTAATGGAAAGCTGGACTACAATAAAGTGAAATCTCTTTGTACACCAATAAAGAGAGCAAATTTATTGGAAAAAATGCAGGAAGTTAAATGTATGAATTAAGTAATGAACTGACTGTTTTTAAAACTTGTATTGTTTTATGGAAAATACATTTTGGAAATAAAGATTAATTTAAAATACAAAGATTTTTATCTGTATTTCAGGATGTAAATACATAACCTGTTTTCAAGTGTACAAATTCAACAACATATATCATTAAAATCACTGCTTTGCAATGTCTTTTTTTAATTAAAATATTGCCACTTTATAGCTGGTATCTAAAAAATCTGAAATAGATTAAGGCTGTAAAGTTTGTTCGCGGTGTTTAGTGGGAAAGCTGGAGAGTATTCAGTACCCTGGGAATTGCCTAGAATAACTAATAACTATCAGACAAATAAGTGAAACTTGATATACTACATACTACACTTTGACTTTTTTCTTTGATTCCTTTTTCAGATCTTGAACCAGATGATTGTGCATCCATATACATCTTTAATGTAGACCAACCATCATCTTCTGTAAATCAGCCAATTTGTATCCCTCACCATGGATTGCAGTCACACTCCTCTCCTCTGTCTCCACCAACCAGACTGCAGGGTCATAAAAACTATGAAGGAACTTGTGAGGTACCAGAATCCAAATACAGTCCACTAGGTGGACACAAACCCTTTGAGTGCCCTAGTATTCAAATTACATCTATCTCTCCTAACTGTCATCAAGGGATTGAAGCTAGTGAGGATGAATTGCACACAAATGGCCCAGAAAATGAATATATGGAAAGGCCTTCAAGGGACCACCTGTATCTTCCTCTTGAGCCATCATACAGGGAATCATCCCTTAGCCCAAGCCCTGCCAGCAGCATTTCCTCCCGGAGCTGGTTCTCAGATGCTTCCTCGTGCGAGTCTATATCTCATGTTTATGATGATGTAGACTCAGAGCTGAATGAAGCTGCTGCTCGATTTACCCTCGGATCTCCTTTGGCATCTCCTGGTGGTTCTCCAAGGAGTCCAGGGGATGAACCTTGGCAGCAGCCTTATGGATTTGGGCATGCCCTGTCTCCTAGACAGTCTCCTTGTCATTCTCCTAGAACTAGTATTACAGATGAAAATTGGCTAAACCCTAGACCAACATCAAGGCCCTCATCGAGACCTACATCCCCCTGTGGGAAGCGACGACACTCCAGTGCAGAGATTTGTTATGCCGGCTCTCTCTCTCCTCACCATTCTCCAACTCCATCACCTGGCCACTCTCCCAGGGGAAGCATAACAGAAGACACATGGTTAAACACTTCTCTCCATAGTGTACAAGGTCTTAGTCCTGGCCTTTCACCATTTCAGTGTTGTACAGAGACTGACATCCCTCTTAAAACAAGAAAGACCTCTGAGGATCAAACTGCTACCCTATCAGGAAAAATAGATTTCTGTTCTGAAGAACAGGGTAATCTATCACCATCCCTTGAAACTGCAATAGATGATTGCTCTGGATCTCAACATGCATTGAAAAAGGATTTGCCTGGTGACCAATTTCTTTCTGTTCCTTCACCCTTTACTTGGAACAAACCAAAGCCTGGCCATACTCCTATATTTCGGTAAGTGGTATAAAAACATAGAAAAGTTTGTCAAACTCCTGAGTGTGTTACGTATGTTTAATGTATTTATATCTTGATGCATTATGAGCCTTTTCAAAGACAATTAATTCTATTAGCAATCTGAATATTATAATTAGAAAAAAGTGCATTGGAACCACCAGATCTGCTTCATTGTTAAAATATTCTAGCTACATTATAATGCAGTAATTATTTAGGCTCGTGTACTTCAATTTGTTGAATGTGAGCAGACTGTTGCCCTTGCACAGAACCCCATTGAATCAAATGGAGTTTCACAAGGACAAAGCAGTTCACCACATGCAACTTCTTGTGAGATTTGGGCCTTAAATTATAAATTGTTCAAGGAAGAAATGTTCTATTCCTATTCCCAATGCTTAGTGCATTTGGGTGCAATAATTTAGTAGTAACCTAGAAGAGCAATAAAATAGTAAATATGGCTAAGCAAGAGTGATAGGCATATAAAGTGTGTGTAGTTGTAGGTTCCAGGATATTGGAGACACAAGATGGGTGAGATAATATCTTTGGACCAACTTCTGTTGGTGAGAGAGACAAGCTTTTGAATCACACAGAGCTCTTCTTCAGACCAGAAGTTGGTCCAATCAAAAATATACCTCACTCACATTGTATCTCTAATAGACCTATAAAGGCATACAGTTTATTTGTATAGAGCTTGTTTTTTTTTTTTTTAAATTGGGTTTCCACTTTTTTTTATTCATTTGTTTTGCTGGAATCCTAGAGCGTGAGTGTATCTGGTTATTTTCCGCAATGCCACTTTGAAATCTGTGCAAACTGAACTAACTGGTGGTTGCTGTTTGCAGTCTGTTTAGCTACAGAAGTGGATTGGTATCTCCTCAGTGCATCAGCACAGTTGCCATCTACAGTCTCTTTTCCCCTTCTGCCCTGTTTTTCTGCTTTTTGTTTTTCTGTGTAAAAATAGAACACTAAGAAATAATCCCTCCCCCCTCCCTACTCAATAGAAGGCTGCATATTGTTCAGGGTGGAGGGATGGTATCCGTTCGTGGCTTTGTGGAGCATGGTCTTATGATCTTATGGCTGAGAAGAAATGCTTGGATAAGTGGGCTCCTGGCTGAACATGCAGACGTAGACATTTATGCAAGTCACTTGAGGCATCTTTTACGGAGCTGCTCACCACTTTATCTGCAGCTGTTCAATATTTTGAAGTGGAGTGGGCACAGGTGAATATAGGGTTAGGCAGCATTCCTGGTCCTACTCAGTGGGCTAGTCTGATGCCCCTCCAAGAGGGTCAGTCCTCTAAAGGTACATATGTACCTCTTTCCCTTGATCACATGTAAAATGGTCAGGGAGAGGGGCTTACACAAACATCCATGGGTGTACAGCCCTCAAGATCACCTCATCTCACAATCACCACTCTTCCAAGCTGCTCCAGTTAATCTCTCCACCATTCAATATATATGTTCACCTGACACGACTGAAGAGCAGTGCATGCAGATAATGCCCAGTGGCTAATGCCACCTCTAGGAGGGCAGAGTTAAGGTTGTGTGGGTGTGTACCTTAACTATGTCTTTCCTGGTTTTCAGATGTTTGTTTTACTGCACTCAACATTCTGAAAGGACATGATATAACTGGTTAACCTTAGCTCTTCATTACCAAAGGTTTTTATCAGTAATCATATGGCCATGGTTATAAGTGAAATGAGTCTGTGGCTGGTTAAACTTATTATTTCATACTGAGGTTCATTGGCCCACAATGGGTCTCCAGTTGTTTGGTGCTTTGAAGCAGAATAGACTTGTCCGTTAGTGACAGAGGGCTAAGCCCTTCTAACAGCAAAGCTAGCCAGTTTATTCTGTTTCCCCGGCTGCATAGAAAGATTCCAGACCACCTCTGCAGAGCACTTACTTTCAGAATTTGTATGTTCAAAATAGTCTTTCTAAAGCTGGATACTTTTCAGCTGGACACACAAACTTGAGAATTTATATGGCTTTAATTGAATTTCATTCTGAGTTAAATGAGGCAAAATAAATAAAGGAAGCAAGAAGTGTAAAGTGCTCCTCAAAGTATCTCCGGATTTGCATTGAATGGGATTTTTCTTTTTCTGTTCCCAATGAGAGAGTTTTCACTTCTCAGACAGCATATAGAACGGGTGGGCAAACTTTTTGGCCCTCGGGTCACATCTGGGTGGGGAAATTGCATGCAGGGCCAGGGCAGGGGGTTGGGGTGCGGGAGGGAGAGTGGGGTGTGGGGGGGGATGCGGTGTGCAGGAAGTGGCTCAGGGTAAGGGGTTGGGGCAGAGAAGGGGTGCAGGGTGTATGAGGGGGCTTAGGGAAGGGAGTTGGGGTGCAGGAGTGATGCGGCATGCAGGAGGGGGCTTGGCAGGAGTGCAGGGAGGGATGCAGAGTGTTGGGGAGCTCAGGGCAGGGAGTTGGCATGCAGGAGTGGTGCGAGGTGCAGACAGGGGACTCAGGGCAGGGAGTTGGGGTGCAGGAGGGGTTCGGGCTCTGG